CAACAGCCCCCTACCCCAGCCTGACCTGGAGAGCAGCTACTGGCCATTGCACAACCCTGCTGTCCCCAGGTGGGACCCCAGGCAAAGCTGGTGGCTGTGGTGCATAGCTCCCCTAGGCTGCTCCCTTCCTCTTCTGCTCCTCCCTGCTGTGGGCTGACCTGGGGAGAAGAGTCAGGGTGCGCAGCCCCACTCCTGCCTGGGCAATGCCGGGTAAAATCTTCTAGTCTTATACTATTCAGATGAAGTAACAATTTGATTTTTGAGGAAGGGGTTTTCCTGCACTTGAGAATTAGGTTGATAAGCTCTTCTCAGATTGATATAGGCCTGACTCTCTTATAATAGGACTGAGAAATCTTGGTATCTTGGACATATGTGTAAACTGTACTTTGATTATCCAGCAAAACTGTCATACTGCTGAATTATTTAGGATATGTGTCTGTATAGAATCTATAACTTACCATGCCTTCAGGTATGGACCTTTTGGAATGGCAGTAAATGTGTAATGTGTTACGTATTTCTTCTGTAATGCAGGTGTATCCACTAATGGGCCAGGTGAGATATCGAGTAAAGATGAAGTAAAAATTGAAGGATTGCATGTGAATGGACCCACAGGTGGCAAGAAAACTCCTCTCTCAGATCTGGATACAAATGGATATGAAACTGAAACCCTTTCCATTGACCCTAAACTTGCTCACTCAGCTGCAAAAAATGAAAATGATTTTGAAGAAAAAAATGAAAGACCTTCAAAAAGGAGAAGACTCAACAGCAATGAAAAAGAAAGTCCAGGCTCCTCAGAGCTTTTTCAAGAAGCAATATCACATGGGAAGTTTGAAGAATTAGAGACTTTGGATGACTGAATATGGGAACTGATTTTATTCCTTGGAGTAAATTCTGGGGTGCCTAAAATTTTCAGGGTTGATGGGTTACCTTACAAAATCAAACTCCTTGACATAATCTGAGATTTTTCTTGTATCTTTCAGTTGGCTCTGAAGTTCTGCTGGTTTTCACAGCTGAAATGCAGAACTGGAATATTTTTGTTTTCACAGAGCTATGGACTATTACTGTTCTGGCAATATTTAGGTATTTTAAAGAGTTTTGAGAAATTAATCCAGAAACTTGATTATATTGCAAAAACTTTTCCTGCTTAATTTATTAAGGAAGTTTCTGTTATATACACATTCTTCAAATTGTTTAGATATTGTACAATTGTACACATTATATTTGTTGGAGGAGAGCTGATTCAATTTCAAAATTGTCACAAGTAGTTGATGTGAAATGTAGAATTCCATGACACAATGGAGGAGCAGGAATAGAGATTTTCAGTCTAAATGAAGAGAAGTTGTATACAATTAAGGAACCCCTATGAATCCTGAAAGTTACAAGCATGAGTTATTTTTATATATAGAAGTTTTTTAAAAAAAATAAACCAAGTCAGGTTTGTGTATGTAAAATTGTTGACATCAGTGATGTCTTCCATATTCTTATCTGGGCTAAAGAAATACATTCTGTATTTTTCCAGATTTCTTTGTAGCCTTTGAAAGATTTTTACAGTACTTATGTCTTGATTGAGCTGTCCTTTCTTAAAACAAAAGCTTGTATAATGTTTCTTAACTTGTACAATTGGTAAACTTTTATGAAACAATAGATATTCTGGGTCTAATGTCAGCTTCATTTTATTTTGCTAAACTTTCTAAAAAAAAAAACCAAAAACATGGTAAATACTAATTTTAAGTGTTTATGCAGTTATTAGCAAGTCATGTTTTCTTCTCAGAAAACTGAAAACCATTCAGATTATCAGGAAGGTTCAAATAGTCACATAATTATGAGAGTATGATTTTGCAAACTTCTGTCTAAGGATAAATAGTGATTTTTGAGTATTTTGGAATTAAGCATGAGGCTTTATTGCACAAACTTTCTTGCTTTTATTATACATTTTAAAATTTTATTTTTGAGGTAAGACAAAAGCTTAATTTCAGCCAAATCCTTAAATATGTTAAAATGTATCTTGTGCATCTCAGTGACCACAGGAGTAGAAAATAGATCAGTGATTCTGGTTGCATATGTTAGGAATTATGCACAGCTGGTTACTGTGGGCCTGATCTTGCATCCGTTTGAACCATTGGGATTCATACTATTAACTTTCAGCAAGTGCAGAAGCAGCATCTGTGTACATAGCTGGCACAGCATGTATGTATGTATGTGTGTGTATATATATGCATATATACATGTGTATATATGTAAGAGGCGATAGTAGGTTTTTAAGAGATGGTGCTAGAAAGGAAAACCATTATCAAGGGACGGGAGGATGCTAAATCTGTTTTCTAGCTTTCCCAGTACAGGTCTGAAATGTTGTTGTGGTAGGAGATTATCTCTGTGGGAAAAAAAGTTTACAACGTTTACAATCGGGTGCTTTTTAGCCATAGTTACACAAAACAATGTAAAGAAACTCATAGGAAATATTGCCCTGATTATTTAATTTATAAATTGTCTTCTGCTTCTGTAGTTTTACAAATATACTATTACCTTTTTTTACTAGCTTATTTCTGCTAGTCTTCAAAAGTTGGTATATATGTGTCTTCAGAGCTTCAGTTTGAAAATTGATACACTGAGCCGAATTCAGACTGGTTGTACTCCATTGATTTAATTAGCTAAGTTAGGCCGTTGTTCTCAGATGTTTTAGGTGATCTGTTTTAACTGGTTCAGCCAACATTAGGGCATTGACATTAATCTACTTAAAATCAGATAACATTTAAGAGAGTATTTAATTTACGGCCTGCATTAATATTGTGGATTCATTGTTTTAGGAGGTGGTCACTGTCAATTTAAAAATTTGATTGAACAGAAATCCACAGTATCAAGTCGTATATCAGAGGTGGTATTTGGAAACTTTGAGTGAAGGTAGTGTAGTGCTTCTAAAAACCTTTACATCTGTAATCAGAAACCTATTTTCAATTTCTTATTTTTATGCATTTTTGTTTGCAAGTGGAAATACTTGCAAAAACATTTTATAGGAGAGATTATAAGTAAGTTGTCTCAGGCTTGTGTGTAAAATATGGCACTGTGTACATTATCAGAAATGTTGATTTGTTTTTAATCTTTTTATGGTATGCCTAAAGAGATCTGACATTCCATAATCATATAATATGTAATGCTCAGCTATACTTAAAGAAGTATTTAATTATAATTTGCATTTTGTTTTATGCTGATGTGTTTTTATACAATATTTGGTTCATGATCTTTAAAATGCAGCCACTATAACTTGATAAGTCATTGCACTACTAGTACTATTTAAAATTTTAGTAATATAGTAACTTTGATTTGTTTCAGAAACATTCAGTACAGTTTGGAACCAAGGAATATTCTAATCGGGTTCCAGACTGCATTGAAAAGACAGCAGTTATGTGTAACACTTAGTATATTTTCAAGCACTGTCATGATGGATCAAGCTGGATCAGGTGTCTGGGTTCATGAAGTGCTTTAAGAGTGCAGCCTGAATCAAAAATTCAGTTCAACAGAATAAACTTTTGTTGGACTTTATAAAGGATTTAAAGCGATATTTTAAAAAAATAAAAATTTATGAATTAGTTTTTATACTTTTTTTCACGCATAGTAATTTTGCACTGTTAGTAATTCCCTTATCTTTCCCCATTCCCTTTCTGCAATTCTGGAAAAAGCTTATTAAAATATTTTTTTAAATGGACTGTCTGTGTATACAGTTATTGAGGTTTTTAAATTCAGAGCAGAACTTTTGGGTGAATAGCTATAAGAAGTGTGCAAATGTATAGTCATGTCTTACAGGAGAGTTGGTAGGGACTCCATAGTTAAGTTGTGATTTACAATTATAAGTGAAATTCCCTGTGTTTTCCAATTTGAGTTGAATCTCCAAATTTTAGACTAACTTATGTGAATAATTGAATATTCTTTGTATTTAGTAACTGTTGCTGATGAAACAGCTGAGCCAGGTGCTTTTTCAAATTTCGCTATTTTCCCCCTCTTACTGCCTTGGGTGGTTCTAGCTATAAATCATCAGGAGCTCCAAACTTCTTTCATATTCAGTTATTTCTGAGAACCAACAGTTACATCACAACTTACGTTTCCCAATGACTACTGCCTTCCTGATTCACCAACTGCTGCAGAGACCATGGAGAGCCATGTCAGACTGAAAGAGATTTAGTGAGGTACGTGCAGAGGAATGGGGGAACCTGGGCTTACAGGTGAGGGGCAATGTTCCCTGTAAGTGGAGTGCTGGGGTGGCCATCCAGGAGAGATTCAAGCGTTGCCCAGCTGATAATCAGATCCCACAGTCAGCAACATGTTTCTACTGGTGATGCACATCCGTATACATCTTGGTGCACATAACACTTATTCCACATGTGGATTGAAAAAATTAAAAGGAGCATTGGTGAGGGGTCTTGGCTCTCTCTAGAGCCACATCATATCTGATTCTTCTTAGAGTGATTGCTCATGGTGCTGGTTCAGGCACCTGCTGGAGTGGCATACATGCTGTGCTATGTAGGGCACCTCTGGCCCCCTCCACCTTCAGTGCCTTCTTGCCATCAGGGATGGTGTTTGGAACCTGCTCGTCTTGGCATTAGCTGTTGCACGTTTCCCTAGTTGGACTTTGTTTTCCCTGTAAATACTTTTACTGTTTAGCCTGGGTCCAGGGCATGCTGTGGAGGGGTGTGGTGATTAGGCAGTTCTGGGTGGTATTTGCCAGGTTAGAGGAGCAGTGAGTGTGTTGTGGGAGTAACGAGTGATATTGCAAAGAGCGGCAGTGTTTGCAGGGCTTGGGGGGATGAGAGGTGGACAGTGAAGGAACTGGGCAGCACAACAGAGGCAACATTTGTAGGGGCTGGACAATGTTTGCAGGGCTTGGGGGCTGAGAGTATTATGGGCAGGGATATTTAGGAAGGGGCTGTGCCATATGCAGAATTAATCTTATGTGCACCACCAGTAGAAACATACTCTGCCTCTGAGCTCTCTGCCAATCAGCTAGGCAGTACCTGAATGTCCTGTAAGCTGTGCGCTTAGGTGGCCAGCCAGGAGAGACTGCTGGGCAGTATTACAAGGGGGGATGGTTGCAGGAAGAGTGGACTGAGAGGCTACTGGTGAGGGCAGGGAAGTATTAGGGCAGGCAGTGGTTGTGGAACTCAAGAGCTGAAGAGAATATGGCCATTTCTTGTGGGCTTTTAATCAGTCCTAGGGCTCTGCTATGTTCTCGGTGCCCTGCAGCAGGTGCCTGCCCTGGCTGAGCAGCCAGCACTGTACTGAGACCTTACGGCATGTTGCATTACTATTTAAAGTGACATGTTTTTTATAACTGAAAATGTAAAGACTATTGTATGAAATTTAGAAGACAAGCAGATAATTTACTAGTCATTCAATATAGTTGAGACAAGTGACTGGATGCAGGAATGTAATTATTGGGTTGTGGAAACAAACACAGGTGACACAGCCTTACTCCAATAACTTGTGCTATTGTCTCCTGATAGCAAAACAGCAAGAAGTGGGCTATGAGCAGAAGACAGCAATCATTTGACCTACAGGACATGATATAACCCTACAGCAATCTCATAAATGCTGCTAATTGGGTCATAAGTGGAGATTTAAACCCAGGACCTCCCTACATGAAAGTATTGGTATTTAAGGTGTGGTTAGCTAAATCTCTGGTACAGCCACTAGAGGGGGCACAGAGACCTACGTGGTATTCAGCATGAAGGAGAAGATGCCTATGCATGTTAAGTTCAGTAAGACAGCTGGCAGCATGAAAAATACTAGATGAATTGGAGAAAACCAAACTGAGGAAAAAAAGTATTTATTTAAAGCCAGTACAAAATGCTCATAGGCACAAAATTTGTTTTGCTGTCACCTGACTTACAGATATAAAGCCTGCAGTACATTCAAATCAAAATGGTCACTTTGTAAATAGAATCTATATAGAAAAAATACATATAGTAAGATTAACAACATAGAAAATATACTATTGTATTTATTTTGTTCATCTTCCCAGTGTATACAATAACATCTGGACATTGGCACTAAAAGGTGCACGTTTACAAACAAAATAAGCTTTAAAAATATTTTACAGGACATCAAATCTAGCCAGCAGATTTTCTTTAAAATTGTAAAAGTTCTCGGTAACAAACATGTTACAGCAAGATGACAGACAAACAAGTGACTTGAAAAGATTCCAGTTTTAGCAAAGACCATTACTTCTTGCCATAGCTTAAACCAACTTGAGTGATTTGGTCAAACAAATAAAAATAGAACCACAGGGGATGGATTCTATGCTACTCTAAAAAAAGCAGTAGCACTGCTATGGACCTAAAATGGCCACAGTAGGTATTTGGATCTCTCCCAGGGTGGTCTTGGATATAAAGGCTTTTAGAACAAGTAAGTTCTGAGCTGATCCACCAAATGAATGAGGATAGTATGAAAACAAATTTCAATATTGTAACTAGATTAAGGAAGTGATGATCCACTCATAACCCCAGATCCCACCAATTAAAAATGGGGACTTTGCATATTTAGGTGAAAAGGTGCAAGTAGAAAACAATTTATCCACTCAGCCTCATATCCAAGGTATTTTGCATGGTATGCCCAAAATGTCTAATAGCAGAATTCCCAGTTTCTATACTGACAATTTTTCTTAATGCACATCAGAATTGTTTACAATGGTCTCTTCCTCTAGCCCATGATACAGGAATTATGAACAAATAGCATTATAGGGTTGCCTACTTGAAGAAAAAACAAAGCCCCATTGTCCCTGGGCATATAAACCTCAGTGGTAGCCAATCCCTTCAGTTAGAGATATACTCTCAGGCACAAGTACATGAGGATGGAAATAAAAGATTTATATAAGAGAAGAAGAGGACAACATACAGACAGCAGCAACACCTCCCTCAAAAGGGAAGAAGGGCCCTGTGTGGTCATGGTCATCCTCTATTCTAATCATCAGTAGTTCTCCCTCATGGTATGTCTTACTCTTCTTCCCCTCCCCCACCCCACCCCACAGGACACCGGAATCAGAGTGGATGGCGGATGTATACACACACACACACACACACACACACACACACAACACAGAGGCCAAGACTTTTCTAGAGAAAATTCAAAACCTACTTTTAAGCAACCTAAATAGGGCACTGATGTTCCTGAACTTGCACCAGGCTGAAAAGATTATTCAAGACTCATCAGAACTCTTGATGCCACAGAGCTAACAAAACCATAGCTGACTTGACGTGCCTGGTGGTTTTCAGCAGCATTTCAAGCAGCTGCAGTAACCCAAATTCTAGCTCCATATAAATGCCTCCTACAGGAGAGCCTAGAGTCTGGGTGTCAGGAAACAGGGAGTGAAGCATCATTCTCCTGTAGACAAATGGCTGACTGAGCAAGATAATGGGCCCTCCAAGAGAGCAGACCTGTCGGACTTGCGGGTTAGCCCCAAGCTGCTCACATATACCATGGCCATGCAATTATTGCAATGAACTAAGAATTGAGAAGTAAGGTTTCCAAAGCTATGAGCTCCAGCCCTGCACGTTGAAGAGACTCTGACAATGTGTTCCTTCGTGCAACAGACATGCTAGGTTAACAAAATCCCCAGGTGTGAACACTCCACACAAGTGATTTGCATCACTGGTAATGCAACTGAGGCCAGGGTGAATAGAAACAAGGGCCACACAAACAGCAGGTATTGCATAGGATTCCAGGGATGAATTGGGAGCGCTAGCCTCCAAGGGAGGACAGTGAATGCCCTCTAGACAGGAGACCCACACAGGCTGCACTGTGGCTCAACAATCAAAGAAAGCATCAGGGCAAAACTAGGAAGGAGGATCTGACCAATGACTTTGTTCAAAAGACTGGAGTTTATCCAGGGGCATGAAAGATGATGCCTGAAGAATTCAGGCCTGTATCCCCTAAGATCTGGGCCATGTGGTAGGTGGTCCTGAGGCTGAAGGCACCTGAGGAAGGTCATCAGGCATCTCAGGTGGAAGAGGCCCACATTTTCACAAATATCACCACAAGGCTCACATGCCACAGGGAGAAGAGGGGGCCAGCTGGTCTGAACTCAGCAGTGTGGTTTTGGGAAAGAAGGCTGTGTCTACACTGGCCACTTATTCCGGAAAATCAGCCACTTTTCCGGAATAACCTGCCAGCTGTCTACACTGGCCCCTTGAATTTCAAAGATTAAGCCCTTTAAGCAGAGCTGACTTTGTTCCTTCAGCCACAGTCCTCTCCCAAAAGCCAAATATGGCGCTGACCCACACTGTCAACTTTTCATGCAGGCAGCTTCACACAAAGAGGATACTGCTGCTGTAGAACTGGGGCCAATGGAGAAAGCCTTCTACGGGTTGAACCTCTCTAGTGTGGCATGAAACCAGAGAAGGTCCAGCAGCATTATCAGCACTTCCACTCTTACTAGGCACTCAGAAGACATTTAGGGATAAATTAGAGCTAAATAATAGCACAGAACCAGGAGTGGTGCCTCTCAACAAATTTTATGGGACCACAGGAACCATAGCCACATTTCCAATGTTGACATGCAGCTAACCAAACTCATTCTGGACCACACATGATGCCAAACCCGAGAGTGCTGGATTACAGAGGTTCAACCTGTAGCTCTGTGTCACAGGAAAAGCAGCAGAAACACCCTGCTGAAGTCCACCCATAGAGTTTGGGGGACACATGCAAAATGGGCTGCAAGATGACAAGTGACTGCTGTGCCACTAAACCGTACGAAGGGGCACAGTCATCCCAGTCTTGACTGCAGGGTAAACATATACTCCACAGAACAATTTAGAAGTGCAACATAAGGCCTGTGCATTCACAGCAAATACTTTGTTTCGTTCCTCACAAGAAACAGGAAACCAGCTAGCCTTAGGGCAAGAGTCTCTGATGCCCTGGTCCAAGGCAGTTCCAGTCTTCAGAGGCAAGGTCCAGGATGGTCAAGTGCAAGGGGTTCATAAAATACTAGAACTGTAAAGGACTGCGAGAGATCATCAAGTCCAGTCCCCTGCCCTCACAGCAGGACCAAGCTCCATCTAGAATCCCTGACAGGTGTCTGTCTAACCTGCTCTTAAATAGCCCTAGTGATGGGGATTCCACAACCTCCCTAGGCAATTTATTCCAGTGTTTAACCACCCTGACACGCAGGACATTTTTCTTAATGATACCTGCCCTCGCCGGTGGAGAACCACATATGCTTGAAAACAGCATCTTTGGGGGTCTCCACACCAAGAATGCAGACAATGAGTGCTTCCAGTCAGGAGGACACAGGAATCTGCATCAGAATCAGGATCAACCCAGGGGCTGGGAGGCCTGGTAAGTCTAGGAGCAGATCACAGCCAAGATCTTGCTCCCTCTCTTCTAATTCTGGGCTTGTAAAGACTTGGGAAGGAGGTCTCCCTCGGCCCTTCAAAGGAAAAATGCCTGCCAAGGTTTGAGGAGATTTGGTGTAGAATAGGCCTACCCACAGTTCTGCGAATTGTTAGTAATTAACTTAACAGCAACTTGGTCTGCCTTTAACTCTCCATCCTCTAGCAGAGAAACTGCTGCTGGCTTTTTACGTCTTTCTCCCATTTTTTATTTAAAGACCCTGCCCACGAAAGAATGAAAAGAGATGGCAGGATAGCTAAGGCAAGGGTTCCAGTCTTCCAAAGGAGGAAAAGGCAAATTAAGGGAACAGTGCTGAGGTTTATGCACTTAAGGGCAGTATCCAGAAAGTCTTTGATTCCAATTGGTGTCACTATGATGCTAGCTGTTCCTGATTTGCACATGGGAAGACAAGGAGACAAAAGGAATTGAGCAACATATTTTGAAGTTTATAGCAGAATGAGCTAAACTGAAAACCATTTTATAACTTTTTTTCCTACCTTGGCATTTAAAAACAGGCATATTTATCAGATGTACAGTTGAAGTTAGTCTTAAGAGTCAAACCTTAGAAAAAGAATGGGGATCACAACAGGCTAACTTTAAAAAGAAAATCTGGTTCCTTAGCCTATTTTACTTTGGGGGTATTAAAATTTCTGCAAGGTCTTTGAGTTAAATCTTCCACAAGCCAGCCACCGTGAGAGACATTCAGCACAAAAAATAGTCAAAAGTTTTACTTTCCTCAACTAATTACTGCTGTGCTGCCAATAGCTAACCTGGAGCTAGCCTACAAAAGTAAGGAATTATTTTCAAACTACTGGCATCAGCAGTAGTGTGTTTACAAAATTTACTGCCTCTTGAGGGTAAGATACTTTTACAAAAATTGCACTGTGCTTGATGGCACTTACCAGGACAGCCTCTTAAGGTGACACTAGTAATTCTGCCATCACATCATGGTACACAGTGAGGAACCACAGCAAAGCATGAGCTGGCTGCATGATTGTAGGAAGCTAGCAAAAGCAGCAACAAATCAGGTAAGTTTTTTAATTACCGGTATTTGTATTGACGTATTCCCCCATCCTTTTTCTTCTGGTATACAGTATCACCAAATACCACTTAGCTTAATTAAATCAAGAACTGGATAAGCAGGCTAGCTAAAAGTGCAAGCTGCCAAAGAGAAACAATAGCTAAATACTGTAACACACAGTATGATAATTAAATGTTTCAGAAATTCTCTTCTCGATTACATAAAAAATATTCTGACAAATTCAATGTTTCTTTCAATACTATGTCAGTCAATTTTCCACCAAATATTCTTCCAAATGCAATTAGGTTCTTTGCCCGTGAAAATCTTTTCTTGTAAATGAAGGAGAATGAAGAATAAGTTGTGGGGAAAAAATAAGTGCACAATTTTAACCAAAGAAAGATGTGAAGGGAGAAAGACAAACAGTAATATTGCATCAATTTTAAATTGAAAAAAAAATCAATTCTGCTTGACATTTTAAAAACTGATCTCCATTAAAAACAGTTCACAAGGCAAAGACATTTTGCTGCATCCAAAAATAAACTGAAAGGCATAAAATTTGGACAGGGTTAAAACATCACAGCTGTATCAATCATGTAATGGTACAACTTAAAGGTACCAATTAATGAATTAACTTGATATCATCTAGAAGAGTAATGGTATTCTCAACTATGAGATAAATATTCATTCTAGGTGATATCTGTAGTCCTGTCACTACCTGTAGCTGCACGAAATATTATATATGCATTAACTGTTAATTTACTAAACCAAAAAGATAACATTTCAAGTTTAGTCTTGTACTGTCTCAGAATAATGGGCACACTTGGTCCTGGAGGGGAATTAAAAACAAGCATTAATTCATTTCAAAAAGTTTCTTAGCCACAGATTTTCACTTGATTTTGAATGACTGCTAGGCCTTACCCTGCAAAAACCGCACATGAATTGCTTTAATTATTAAGCTAGCCATTGGGACTACTTGTGTAAGTAAAGTTTCTCATGTATGAATGCAGGATAAGTCTCATTTCAATTCAGCACTCCCCTGCTGAGTTCTCTAATATATTATGTAAAATCAGAAGACAGTGTGCCATCAGCCCTCCAACTATTCTTGAGTTTCCCTGTACTACATCAGAGTCACAAGAGGTGCTAAGATGTTGTAAGCATACAGAATCTGACCAGGATGAACATACACTTAAATGTTCATTAAAAACACCTGAACACTATTAAAACCATCAGCTACTCAAGCATGTTTTGGCCAAAAATGTACAACCTGAGGTCTGACTGAAATTAACGTAATGTTGAACTGGTTCCTCTACTGAAAGGTCTGCACTTGCATATGCAAGGTTGCAGAGTCGTATCTTTCCTTAGGAGATGATAAAGGAGTTACATTTCCATCTCCCTCCATTTCTGTTGTATATTCCAGCTCGAGAGAAAACAGTCTCTTTTCTTTCCCTTTTTCTTGTTCCTCTAAAAGCTTACTATTGAAATAAAAAATACAAATCTTCTTTTCATGATCTATGTTGGGCTTACAATGGGCTTATAGTTAAAGTCTATAAATGCTCCCTTGCTTCAGTAGCTTCCTTCATGAAAATATAGTAAACTCATCTGTTAGCTGCGTTTTCTTAAGATAAGGGTGAGATTCCATGTTGCCTCTCCATGAGGCACAGAACTTGCAGCCCTGCACAGAGGAGCCCATGCTGGCTTTAAGTCATCTTTGTGCCCCGATGCTTCAGGGACTAGAGAGTCCTTCCCTGTTCATCACCTGGAGGACTTTGTCTAAGCTGTACTAGTCTCCCATGGGTGTCTTCTGGGCTGCAGCATTGCCTGAATCTCCACACTGCTCTGTGCTCAGCAACACTTCCCCTCTCCTCCATACAAACTGCCTATCCCCCCATCTCTGGCGTGCCATCATGCCAGTTTGTGAGGGGTTCCTCAGAAAGTAGCCTGAAGGCTGTTTCTCCACAGTGCCAGCACTGAAAGGGACACAGGACTTTTTGGGAACTTTGACATCACCCTCGGCCTTTTGGACAGCATGAAAGGGAGTCAATTATTCTCTTTAAAAACTAATTAAAAATATTTATGATTGCCCATTGCGCTGCTCACGTGCAAGACAACCTAGATGTAAGTTAAATGTATCTAGAAAGTTAGGACAAGTCTTCTTGCAAGAAAATAAAACTGAATTTAAAAACATTGATGGTGCGTGTGATACACTCCTGTGAAATCAAAACATTTACGTTGTCTGGGCATGATTCTATCACCATACTTGATCATAATAAATTACCAAAGAGGTATTCCTCATAATCCAGATTAAATTAATTTAGTGTGCAGTCAATCATAAATCTCTTTTTAGTAAAATTTTTAAAAAGGCAGCATATTTCAATTGTGCAAATGCAGAGTACCAGCATTATTCCATAACAGACACCTCCACTGTACTATTTTTACACTAAACTGCCAGTGATCACTGAACAAAATCAAGGCGTTACTTCTCATAAGTAATCCTTTGGTCATACTGAACTTTTTCCTTTAATATCCATCTTGATAGACGCTTCAGACTGCTTGTTCATTTGCTCTTCTGTAAAAGTGATGTAAGAATACACCAGGCTTCCAGCAATACTACAAAACACATTTTTAGATAAAAAAGAAATTATGTGTATTAATGTTAGAACACCATGTAAATTATTGTGTACGTAACATTCTACACACTCTAAGTACATTTTAAACTTGCATTCCTTTCTCAGATTTACTAATATAACACTTTCACCTAGTATCCAATAGAGAGATTGGTCTGAATTTTGATTAATTCCTACCATTATACCAAAATAACCATGGATCTCATTATGCAGATGTACCAAACCCTAGGCCAGGTGGTATAGCAGTTGAGGTGGGCCAATAAATCGCTGGTCAGCCACAGAAATAAAAAGTTTTATTCTGTGCCCTCCTGTTTTATACAGGCTGCAAAAGGAACAAAGGAAGTTTGGTAAAGTATGAGGAGGCTGAACAAAGTGAGGAAGAGTCAGTCAAACTTAATTTAGCTAGCTAATTCCCCCTCTGTCTCCTTGAAATCAATCCTCTCCTCCCCATACAATTCTATTTTCAATCTGATTTACAATTCATTTTCTCTAACCACTACATATAGAGGCCTTATTTTTATTATCACATGACTTGATGTTCTGAAGTTACCATTCAGAAGAACATAATGCGGGGGGAAGAGTACGTGTGTTCTACGCAGAGCTAAAAACAGGAGATCCTTTTATGGTTATTTTATTCTTTTAGTGTACCCTCTGACTTGTGTCAGACCACACAATAATGTATGCTCCGGCACATTACAAAATCAATCAATCAAGCTTAAGTAGCTTCATTCTCTTTTAGTATCTTTAGTTACAAGTTTTACAATTGTCATTCAAAAAGATAGAGAGAATGGTCCATATTTATAAGCATATTTTAGAAGAACCATATTTCCACCTAGGGATGTAAGTGACTAGTCGACTACTCAATAAGCATATGCTAATCGGGCAGTTAAGTAGTGACTCGACTAGTGGCTTCCTGCCCCCCCCCCCCCCCCCCCCTTGCTGTCTCTATCAGAGAGAGGCAGCAAGGGGCCGGGACACTGCAGAAGCTGGTGCTGGGGGAGGGGGAAAGCTGGCTTAAAAGCTGGTTTCCCCCCAGCACTGTCTGGGGTGGGGGTAGGGGAGGCAGAGGCATAGCTGAGACCAGGTGAGAGCCGGGAATCAGCTGACTCCCAGCCAGTCCAAGACACTGTGCCTCTGCTTTTTAAATGCATTAAGAGCTGCGAGGCTCCTAATACATTTAAAAAGCAGAGATGCAGTGGGAGGGGGGATACCAGATGGGAGACAGGAATCATCTGATTCCCGGCTCACACCCAGTCCCCCCCCCCCCCCCCCCCCCCCCCCATGTACAGGCAGTCCCCGGGTTACATGGATCCGACTTACATTGGATCCCTAGTTACAAACGGGGTGAGGCAACCCCGCACTAGCTGCTTCCCCCCAGCAGACCAGGGAGATGCGAAGCTAGCGCCCCCCCACCCCAGCAGACCAGGGAGAGGTGGAGCGGCTTTTCTCAGCAGACACCTCAGCTTGAGAATAAAGGACTGAGGGAAGTGAGGTGTGGGAGAATAAAACTGAGCTCTGGAGAAATGTTTGGCTAGAGTTTCCCCTACAATATGTACCAGTTCTGACTTACATACAAATTCAACTTAAGAACAAACCTACAGTCCCTATCTTGTACGTAACCCGGGGACTGCCTGTAGTACATTTAAAAGGCAGAGCTGTAGCAGGGTTAGCTCCCAACCCTGGGAGCTAACCCCACTCTGGTTCTGCAGTTCCCCCCTTATCGACTAATAGAGTAGTCAATGGAAATTCCATCAATTACTCGATTAGCTGATTACACACAATTTAATATCCCTATCTCCACCAATAACTAACTAAATAACAATATTTACTTATTTATTTATGCATGCAATTAAAGGAATGGCACTATTTGAAGGTGTCATATAATCTGAGCTGCAAATACTCAGCCAAGTATAAAAAAAAGCTCAACCTCTTCCATCATGACTGCCTTCTAGATCAGTCAAAAGTAGGTCAGGATTGTATCAACTTGCTGCTAATGTGCCCTGAATACCAAACAACCTCCCTGCTTTTCCCAGTGGTGCTGCCAACAAGGAGCAGTGCATGTTTACATTACTGAATATTTTCAAAGGAGAACCAGGAAGGTGCATGTGTGTTTTCAAAAATCATTTTAAAAAAGAATAACCATTTAAGTTGATAGGATCAGGGGAAGAATCGTAGAATCAGAACTGGAAGAAACCTTGAGAGATCATTAAGGTCAGTCCCCTCCACCTATTGCAGGACCAAATACCATCTTTTAGACCATCCCTAACAGCTGTTTGTCTAACCTGCTCTTAAAAATGTCCAAATGATGATGATTCTACAACCTCCCCAGGCAGCGTATTCCAGTGCTTAACCACCCAGACAGGAAGTTACAAAGGGGTTGTTTGTTTTAAGGTATTTATCAATTGAAAAGACAAGTCTCAAGGTTTTGTTTTTTTAAGTTGTTTGGTAAATCATTTTTCACTTATGCAGTTTCCACACATGACACAGTTTTCTGTAGTAGATGATGCTCAGTGAACCAAGCAGTCCCAATCCTCAGACAGTAGTTCGGACACGATAACTCAGAAAAAGGTATGAGACCCCATAAATGCCACAATTATGTCAAAGAGGGACAATCTTATTCATTACTCCAGCTGAAGATCTGCTTATGCTCTGAAGTAAGAAGATGGATAAATGTAATTTTCTTTACTGTTGATAATATAACTGCAGATTGTCATTTCTTTCATCCGTCTGTCTTAGAGCTTAATATTGCTACTCATCACTATAGTATAGAGATGTTAAAAGTTGATTAAACAGGTAACCGTGTAACCACTGAACAGCTCAGTGGTTAAATGCTGCGGGCTCTACAGTATAAAGCTTAAATAAGCTTTACTTAAGCTTCGTACTGCCCAGCCCACAGTGAAGCCTTCCCAGGAGCCTCTGCCAGCTCCCAGGGAGGTAGCTTTCCTGCCGCAGAGAAGGTAGCTCTTGCCCCAGCTAGCTGAGTGTAACCGACACCATTAACCAAGAAGCATCAGCTTATCAGTTAAACGGTTTCATACTAATATCCCCTACAATAGGATTAAGCATTTTCCATTAAAAAAAAAAAAAAAAAGAGCAGCAGCAAAGTCCCTAATGCACTTAATTGAGACTCTGGGACTTGCCATTCTGAGGCAAACACTCTGCGTAGGGTAGGGTTTTTAATGTGCTGCTAATGAAAAGAAGAAATGCAGTGATTTCTTGGATGGAAGGGGGATGTTAATGTTGTGTCATTCTGATAGTGAAAAGTATTTAGTGGAGAAGAAGGTTTTAGAGCATTTCCTAAAGGAGGTCAGATTCACCTGATCTCTCGAAAAGTCTGTTTCAGAGTTGAAACCTGCCGCACATTTCCTACATCACAAGCTTTGTGATCTGTACTGTCCCCGAGGACTGTAGCCAATCAAAATGCGTCTTTTGATCCTACTTTGAAAATTTCAGACCAAAGATTTAAATTGGCATTAGCATCTAACCGGGAGCCAGGCGAGGGATTGGAGTATGAGCCTAATATGCTCATGGAGCAGCTAGAGCCTGTGACGTGCTCCCATACTTTATGGAAATACATTTTTGAATATGAATTGCATAACTCAAACACGCTTTATGAAAAACATGGCATGTAATCTATCATCGGAGAGCTTGTAATCCCCTGAATGTGTATATTCTATTTGTTGCATGTATCACTCCTGTACTTGGAGTTAGAAATATGAAGTATAACCCTGTTTAGCTATCTAGATGTGCTTAATGTCCCAGGACACAGGACAATGATCTGTAAATAGTCTTGCTTTTCCTATAAGGCTGGACTATCGTTGGTCCTACCAAGACTTGTGGCCAGTCATTTGGTACTGGAACCCATTTTGAAAATGGTATTTTTCCGTGGGGGTGCGAAGGAATTGAAACTGAACACTATTCCCACCCTAGGCAAAATCTATTTGTCAGCAGGAGCTTACTAGAGCATGGATACCAGCAGTCAGGGCCTTGCCTGGAGGAAAGGACAACACATTTTTAGGTAGCTGGAGGTAAAAAGAATGTTTAGATGTTGATGCGGTCACCCAACTTCAGGAGCCCAAAAGGATCCAGAGGCTTCACAGCACTTTGATGAATGGGGGCTGTGCACCATCAATGGAAGCTGAAGACAGACACTTAGATCAGCGCACGCTCCCCCTTCCAACACTCAGTCTTTCCATGGTCCTGCTTGACCCGGCTGCTCTCCTTCCAAGAGCTGATTTCTTGTAGGCATTCTGGCATTTTAGCAGTGTTTGTGCTTTCATCCATTGAGAATGATGTATTTCAGTTTAGCTGGCAACTAGATCCCCAGCATCTTCCCCCGCCCCTCTCCCCCACTCCACAATGGTCTCATGTAGTTATTGGAGAGAAGAGAGGAGAGTGCAGGCCCGTTTAGGACCCTAGAGGTGAGGGTCTGTGGAAGGGCTAAGCAGTTACCCTTCACTGCTCTTTGAGTCATGCTGGAGAGCAACAACGGGAGCCACTGTAATGCTGGGCCATCTACTCCTGCTGTGTCATGTAGCAGTACATTGCTGTCCTGTGTCAAACGCTACAGAGAGATCCAGCAATGTGAGCCTGGTGATCTTATGCCCACGAGGAGACTCTATTTTAGTGCTATCAGTGCTGCCTCTGCTCTGTGCCCCATCAGGTATCTACTATGCTGGTTGAGTCACATGCTGGAGCAGGATGCTTGGTGATTTCTCAACTATTTTGCCATGGACTGGCAAGCTGGAGACAGGAGTGCAACTGGAAAGCTCTTCAGGGGCAAGTGATTATTTATTTATTTTCTGAGGACTGGGTGAGCTGCTCTGTTTTCTCCTGAGGAGATTGGTAGGTGACTTTTCCTCTCTGCCAGAGGATTTGTTTAAATTAGTGGTATACATAATTCTTCCCAGGAGGGGCACGGATCCATTTTACAGGGTTTGGGTCTAATACCTTCCAGGGTATTTTGAGCGTCAGCACAGGCCATACTCAGCCAGGGTGGTGAGGTAGATAACAGAATTCTACCTCAAGTGGACTGTTTTCCCATTGACTTCTTATGTATTGTGTTGATCTCATCAAAGCCAACAGCTCTTCACAACAGCCAATGTTTAAGACTGGTGCTGAGCTATGCAGGCAGGTTTGACTAGCTGGCTCCCTTGTTAAAATAACTCAGGACAACGAGGAGGCTTACTTTTGCCCCCTTTACTACAGTGGCTTAGTCCTGTAAGACTGCTGCTTGGATGAAGCAGTGATCGGTCCAGGAGAGTGGTACACTGGCGATGCCTCCAATATCCACACGTACACAGAAGGTAGGATCAAACGAATGTCCAGCTACAATACTGGTCTAGACACTGCTTGGAAGACTGATGCCTTACGTAGGCTGTAAGATCCAGCACTACTGAATCACTGAGGCTATAGGAAGGCTGAGGTCAAAGCAGATGAACGCATGTAGGAGTCTGGTTTGCAGTACAGCTGGTCCCCGAGTTGCGAACGGTCGACTTACAACTGTTCGCAGTTACGACTGAAGCTGTTGTAAATGGCAGACCCCGAGTTACAAACGCGATCCGCACTTACGAACAGTGCAGTTGTGTGTAACTCTATGGGGTCCAACTTACGAACAAACCGAGTTACGACTAATTGCTTGGTCCGTACCGGTTCGTAAGTCGGGAAAAGGCTGTATTATACTGGCCAGTAGCTAGTTCTTTCCAGAAGCTGACTGGATTTCCATCTGGAGTACTCTGCTAGGAGTCCTACATTCCTCTTGTCCTTCATTTCACAGATCACATGGATGTACTTCAAAGTTGAGGGGGGGAGAAATGTTTCAGTATCAGAGCCTGGGGATACCAACAAGATTCCTATTCCATGACCTCTCCTTTTTCTGGTGCATTCTGGGGTCAGCTTGTGGTTTGCTGGGCATTCCATTTGCTTGTGGTTGAAGCTGTTCCAGGTTGATCTGGATGCAGCACTGACCTATCCATGTCTCCCTAGTGATGCTAACAAGGCTAACTGCTTCACCCCAAATGAGATGATGGGCAGCACTGGTTATGACTGATGACCTTGCCTCCTCCAGCAGGAACTTCAGTTCTTTTGTTTTTCGCCTCCATTCAGTGATCTTACCAATTGAACAATTGGCTTTAGGTGCCTCACTTTTGGATTTATCAATTCCTCTTTGAAACTTACAACATACCTTTGTGATTAGCATAGCAAAAAATTTGCTTTTTAAATTTCAAATGCATTCAAATTCTTGAGACAGCTTGAAGGTGACATAGGATTACATCACATAGCCTCAAGTTCACCCTCCTACATGCGTTTAGAATAGCAACCAACATTGCATGTAAAAATAAGATGCCAGGAAGAAAATATACTTTTTATAAAAGATACACCCATAGTTGTCATACAGAATACACACACCTGCTTCTATGAAAGGTTCTCCCCTTAGAATCCCTCATTTCTTTTTCCTTCACCTCCAAACAAATATGTTATCAAACACGGTGATACAAAAAATAAATCTTAAATGAAATTGTAAGAACACAATCCTGCAAGCAATTAGGCACATATTTAATGTTATGCACATAAATCCTTTGATATCAAATAGACTACTCACATCCTGTTTTCAGAACCAAGATTTCCTAATAACTTTGTAGTAGATTCTTCCTAAGTGCAGTTCCACTTTGGAAAGTGATTCTATTTGGATGGTTCAATAGTGCTTTCCATAATTCAATAGTCAGTTGCTCAATTTACAAGTTATTCTGTAGAGTGTTACGTACATTCAAGACAAATCTTCAGTTTTCTTACCTAATATTTAACCCAATGAAGTTTGTCCATGTGAAAATATAGTCTCCTCCAAAAAACATTCCAATATAGGTTATTAATATATTCTGGAAAGAGAAAAAATAAATATTTTGCTTAAAATTTGTGAACAGGTATTTATGTATATTCCACAGGTATAAAGATGCTGAAACATATAGAAAAGAGTCAGAAGAGATAACAGTGTGAAAGATACTGACATATGTATTGACGATATTCATTTGAAAGTTACTATATCAGGACTACTATGTCAGGCCTTACTTTTTGTATTAGTAAGTTTCTCCTTCATATTGCCCTACTGAGCCCAAACATTGTTTCCCCACACCCTAAAAAACAAAGGCTGCAACATAGAAAAAAACCCTCTTCTTTTTTTAAAAAACAACCTTACAACGATGTACCCAGAGTACTGAATTCTTCAGAATTCAGCTGTTCTCTTGCTCTCTCTTCCTTATTTGCAAGTAGGCAAGTGCTGACATGTACAAAAATCCTTACCCTTCAAAAGTTATGCATTTCCCAAACTACACATACTGCTGGCAGCCCTAATACTAGACCTAACAGCTTCAAAAGCAGCATTTTAGTTCTCATACTTTAGTTTTACTGGTTTCCCACTTCCCCTCAGATGCCACTGGTTTTGTTAAAGACTTCATTTAGATCTCCAGTCACGGCAAAATTCAATAGACTCAGCTATTAAGTGCAAAACCATTTACAGGCCTTCTACAGTAGGGCTCCACAGGAGCATTATACCAATGCATGAGGCAAAAGATACTCAAGCATTTACTTGGCAGAGCTCCACGTATAGTTGCTGGCAGCTACAGATCACTACCGAGAACCTGTATCAATGAATGGAAAGGAGCTGAGGCATGTACAGCCCTGCGTGGATAAAAAAAGTACCTGCATCTGTATCTGCAGAAATGAGCTGTGGATAGCCACACTGACTAGCCCCAATAAGCCTATGCTTATTGGCAGGGCTCGCCAAGCGGCAGCGAGCCCCGCTCGCCAGCCGTGCAGTTCTGCGCTCTGAGCATGCACAGATAGCTCTGCGCCGGCTCTTCTGGGTTGTAATCTACTCGCCACAGGCGAGTAGATTACATTACTTGTCGAGCCCTGCTTATTGGGTAGTCGAATCAATTACTCCCATTCCCCTCACCCTTGCTGCCTCTGTATCAGAGGCAGCAAGGGGGAGGGAGGAAGCAGGAGCCAGTGCTGGGGGAAGCTGGCTTAAAAGCTGATTCCCCCTCAGCACCTTCTTCGTGGTGCCACCCCACTGCCCCCCACTGCTGCTTCTATCAAAGGCAGTGATGGGGGGAGGGGCAGGATCTGCTGCCGAGTAGCAGCCCTTATCCGGTGGTAGCCCAGCCCCTGTGCGCGGGAGGTCCCAATTCCCTCCTGGGAGCCCCATGCACAGGGGCTGCTGCTGGCTAGGCAGGTGGCCTGGGTTGCACCGGGCGCGGGACCAACACCCGCGGTAGCTCTGCATTTAAAATGTAGTAGGATCCAGGCGGGCAAGCAACCCAGCTCTGTCCCAGCTCGTGCTGGGTGCGGGACTAAACCCTGCTGGGGCTCTGCAATTTAAAATGCAGCAGGAACCGGGGCAAGCTGCCTGGCTCCAACTGCCTTTTAAATTGCAGAGACGCAGCGGGGTTTGGCCCCGCACCTGGCACAAGTCGGGACTGAGCCGGGCTGACTACTGTCTAATCGAGTAGTCAATACAAATTCTATCGACTACTCAATTAGCTAAATACCCGCCTCTTAACATTCCTAACACTGACCTCCGACGATGTGGATACCCACAGATATAAAGTAGATAACTGTGGATTTGCTGGGCTCTTGGAGATCATTAGCCCGAAAGGGAAGTTCTGCTCTGAAGAGCTGAAAGTCTCCGCATCTTCTCTCTCCATGTGGTCCTTGCCTATCCTCTAACTTCTTTGAGGACCTATTCTGGTTCACTATTGTAATCAAGCCAAGGCCCTGAAAGGTGAGTCTTTCCACTTTCAGTGAGACTATAGAAAGAAAACAGACTTAGGCCATGTCTGCACTACGAGAAAGTTGAATTTGTTAAGGTTGATTATTTTGCATCCGATTTTGTGACCTTGGTTGCCCCGCTTGCCTGCTGACCATTCTCCTCCTCCACCATGCTGTCATCCGTACCTCTGCTTGAGGCTGCCTGAGTATCTTGGGAGGAATCCACTGACTGGGTAGGGAAGCTGGTAAGGTCTCTCCCAAAGATCACATGCAGCTGCTGGCAGAAGCAGCTTGTTTGTGGCAATGCTCCGGACCATCTGTTTGCCTCCTTTGTCTTTTGATAGGACTGCTTCAGCTCCTTTATTTTCACACCGCACTTCTGGGCATCCCTGGTATATTTTTTCTGCTCCAGGACCCTTGTAATCTTGGTATAGATATCTGAATTTCTTTTGCTGGTTTGTAGTTCTGCGAGAATAGATGCCTTTCCCCACACAGCAATGAAATTCAGGATCTCTTGCATGCTCCAGGCTGGGGTTTGTCTGTGACCTCACGGGCAGGTGTGCTTCCTACTCTGAGGTCTGCTCGCCACAAAGGAAATGAAATTCAAATTTCTCCAGGACTTTTCCTGTTCACATGGAGAGCAGTAGAGTTGAAAGTTGTGTCCAGACCACCGGTCATCCAGGGCACAGTGGGCCACCTCGCAGAGGCCAAGAATGTCAACTTTAAAAATGCTGCGTCTAAACTATCAGAAAGGCAACCGTACAAGATCGATCAGCGATTACTCCTCGATAAAGCAGGAGGATAGAAATCAACTTCAGTGGCCCTTTAAGAGAACAGGACGGGCTTGGTAATGTGGACTCAATCTTTAGAAAAATCAACCTAATGTGGCTAAATTCAACCTAAACTTCAAGTGTAGATCAGACCTTGGACACTGGCTACTTCAAGTTCTCTGCTCAGGCTGTTCACCTCAAATCGTCAAGTCAACAGCTCTACAAACAAATTGCAGCAGCAGCAAAGCAACTGAGCTACAAAAAAAAGCTAGAACACAGCATGAAAAGGAAGCAACTCTCTAGTCTAGCATTGCTTCTGCAATCTAACAACTCCTCCAAGACTTTTAACACAGTTGGCAAGAAGTTTGCAAAATCACTGCCAACAAATGAGTTATAAATTATTCTCATCGTGGATTTTACTAGATTATTCAAACGTTATTGTCAATAAAGTACTAACAGCTTCTCCTGCTAACCCCAAGCTTGTTTAGCCTATGTACACCTAGAGAAAGGAGACATAAAATTATCTGAATTACTGCAGTTAGTGAATGAAGAAACTCTACTCTTCTAAATTAGAAACTTTTGAATGGCTTCTTTTAAGTAAACAAGATAAATACTTTCTCCAGATTCAAAAGGACTTAGCTAAAATCACCTACCATTTCCCATTTGTAAATTGTTTGGGTTAGCAATAATAAACCAAACAAGATTCATCAACCCTTAAATGGAATTATTTTACCCAAATATCAATTGTGATATTTACATATGCTCTACTAAGACAGAACTCACTGCTGAATTGCAGAATATTACCCTTTGGTTTTAATTTATCTAGGGAATTACATCCCCCGTAGCTAAGACTCATTCTCAATGATGTAATCGCTAATAGAACCATGTAAAAGACTGACTGAAGCATCCATTTACCTGTAGCTAGTAGGTCTTATTCCTTTCTTTTATTAATATGTTATTCATAATTTATAAGCCTGAGTATTTTGTGAGGCTTTAGTTGTGGAGTCCCACAACTCAGCGTCACAGATGAGTAAATAGGAGGTCACATCCTTGAACTGGCATTGGGAAAGAAAATCATGAAGATTTGACTTACTCTTCTTGATTTCTCTGGATTTCTCTGGACCAGAAATTTTTAGTAGCTCGGAGGATAAAATTATTTAGCTCTCATCACCCCTTCCACTCATACAAAAGCCTCTGAGAATACAAACATTTATACGGCCTTTGTAAGCATCATACAGGCAATACTGTAACACAAGAAATGGAAGCTCAATATTTTGACAAATATTTAAGAGATTTGTGCAATTTACCTTAATACAGCCAACTATTGTAGTTGTAAGAGCAGAATTATACTGAGTGCAAAGAACTGTGGAGTACATCAAAATAAACCTGCAGCAGAAAAAACAAAAGCAACATTCAGCTTTTCAGAATTTGAGGCAGCATTTATTGTACTAAAATGCCATCTCACTCTCTGCTCTTAATTATATACCATTCTACAGAACTTCCTTCACTACTAGTTTGGAGAGACCTGTATAATTCACTATGGAGTAATGTTATCTTTCAAAATACATAGCAAAAGCACCCCCATACCATCAGGTATACTATACTATATACCCCAGTGTTCCCTGTATCAGAGGCAGCAGCGCGGGGTGGCAGGCAGAATTCGGTCCACCACAGGAGCCAGTTTAAACATCAGCTCCCTGCGCAGACTGGCTGCTTACCACACCGCACTGCTGCTTCTGATACAGAGGCAGCAGTGTGGAATGGCAACAGCCCCAGTCCATTGGGAGCTCAGACCCCCTGGTGGAAAGGAGCTGCTGCCAGGGACCAGCTTCTCTCCACGGGGACCACTTGGACCCCCCTGCGGACAGAGGCTGCTTTGCGGCAACCTCCCCTGCCCCTCACCCAGCCCCACTCTGCTGCCTCTGACAGGAGGCAGAAAGGGGGGAAAGGTGGGTCTGTGGAACTGGCACGTGCGGGGAGCCTGCTTAAAAGCAGTTCCCCATGCATATCAGCTCCAGCCTGCCCCCTCACCCTCCACACTATTGCCTCTATCAGAAGCAGCCGTGCAGGAGTGGAGGGGGGAAGGCAGGCAGATCAGGTGCTCGGGGGGAGTCTGCTTAAACCCAGGCTTCTCAGTTAATTGTGTAGTCGACTACACGTTGACATCCCTAATTCAAATGCCACCCAAAAGATTAGCAGGGTGCCCACAGTTGGCAGCATGTGTTGCTGCTAGTGGTGCACAACCACACATGCCTCAGTGCACATAATGAAATTTATTCTGCACATGGATGGTAAAAATTGAAAGGAACATTGCTATACACTAGAAAGTAGGACCTCGCTAGCAGAGCCACCCTTTGGGGGTCATTAATTTTTATAAATTGAAGTGACCAAACAGACTAGAAAGTATACTACAGCACAATGTGTACAGATAATAAATTACAGTTGTCAAACTGAATTATCAGGTTATGTTTGAGGAACTATATCAGGAACTATATTTTTATAAATATATAAATTTATTATATGTATCAGGAACTATATTTTTAAAAAAATAATGAAATCTTAGTAATGACTTCATTACCACACTCTATTGTTTAAGTCTAAGAAGTGGACCAAGACAACTGGAGTTTGTGGAATCAAGTTTGTGTATTTCTAAAATGAGAGGTAGTAAAATGCTACTAGCTTGTGTAAAAGGAAATAGTAAGATATGCCACTGCTCATAAAAATGGCTAAATTTAAGAAGATAAAAGATACATTATAGATATGAAGTGTCTCCAAAAAACAGACCATACATTAGCATCTGAATGTCTAATTCACAAGGCAGCCTTTTAAGCAATAATCTCTCTGCAAACTGTTTTGTGCCACCACTGAAAATGGACTTTCTACTAATTTGTACTTTATCAACAGCAGAAATTCTCTGCAAACATTATACTCCACACAATTAACATTAATGGGAGTTTTATGTGCATATTGACTACAGAGCAGGCCTTCATAGTAAGGCACTTCCTTAATACCTGTTGGTGAGGCTATAAGACAGACTACTATCTGGAGGAAACACCAGCAAAGTTAAAGTAAATCCTTACCCCATTATACACGAGAGTGTAAACTGTATAACGAAGAGTGTATCTGCCCAGCCTTTGTATTCCATCGCCTGAAACAAACAAATCCAATTTTAAAAACAAAAAAATAACGTTCCCAAGTAGACATTAATCCTTTAACATTTTGCTGCACTTAATATGAAAGCCAGAAATGAGCACAAAAGTTCTTAGGATCATGGCCATAAGGAGATTATTCACCAACGTTATTACAGCTTCTTGAATGCAGACGCTTAGTCTGAATCCAGATTCTAGAATCACAGAAATGAAAGGCTAAAAGTGACCTTGAGAGGTCACTAGGTCCAGCCCTCTGCAATGTGGCTTAGAACATCCATTTATGCAGCTATGTTGGTCATAGGCTATTAGAGACACAAGATGAGTGAGGTAATCTCTTACTAGAACTACTTCTGTTGGTGAAAGAGAAGCTGTCAAGCTTACAGAGAGAGCTCTTTTTCAGGTCAGTCAACCCAGACCTGAAGAGGAGTTCTATCTATGTAAATTCAACAACTTGTCTCTCACCAACAGAAGTTGGTTTAACATAAGATATTACCTCACCCATCTTGCCTCTAATAAACCATCCCTGAAAGGTGTATTTAAAAACCTCCATTGATGCCGATGAACAATTTTCCTCGAAAGTCTATTCAAGAGCTAAACTACCTATACCACCAGAAAGTATTTTGTAGTATCTAATCTAATTCTCCCTTGCTGCAGATTAAGCCAAATACTTTTTTTGCTGTTTTCAGTGACATGGAGAATAATTGATTGGGCCTCTTTATAGCAGATCTAAACACATCTGAAAACTTATCAGAACCCTGACACCTGGCCAGCCTTTGATCAAAACTAAAAGTGACTATTTTTTCATCTTTATTCATAAGTAAGTCAGGTTTTCTAAACCTTTTAGCAATTTTATTACTCTGCTCTTAACGCTCCAATTTGTCCACATCTTTCCTGAAGTGTGGTGCCCAGAACAGGACACTGTATTCCAACTGAGCCCTTACCAGTTCCAACTAGAACTGGACAATTACCTCCCATGAGTTACATACAATGTGCCTATTAATACATTCCAGAAGAGCAGCCTTTTTTGCAGCTGCTTCACAATGATGACGTCAATCTGTGATCCACTATAATCCTCAAATCTTTTTCAGCAGCACTTATCACCTTGCCTGTTATTCCCCATTTGACAGCTGTGCATTTCATTTTTCCTTCCTAAGTGAAGTGCTCTGAACTTCTCTTCACTTAATTTCATCTTGTTGAATTCAGACAAAATTCTCCAATTTGTCAAGATTGTTCTGAATTCTAGTCCTGTCTTCTAAAGTGTTTACAACCTCTTCCCATCTTGGGTGTCATCTGAACATTTATTAAGCATACTCTTGACTCTATTAATCAAGTCATTAATGAAAACTAAGTAGTTCTATTCCCAGAACTGATCGCTATGAGACTCCACTGGAGAAGGATTCAGTGTAACACCTTGCAGTTTTATAACTATTCCTTGAGCATGGTCTTTCAATAGTCTGGTGTGCATGTATCCTATATTAAATTCATCTAGTGTTTATTTCCCTATTTTGGTTTGAGAATCATGTGGGACTGTGTCAAAAGCCTTATTGAAATAAAGATAACACATCTATCGCTCCCTTCCTAACTGGTAGGCCAGAAGGAAAGACCAAAGAAGGTTCATTTAGCATAATTTGTTCATAACAAATCCATGCCTGATTTGCGAAGTGTTCAAGATACAAGGAGAGGACTGATGCTGTTGGACTCTTGTTCTTCTCTTTTCCCTCCCCAATGAGCCTAAACGCAGGAAAAGAGGCAAGTAGTAGTTTGTAAGATCATTACTGCATGGCCTTAGCTTCTTGAGAAGCAATTGCAAGGAACAAGACAGCTTGCTTCTTTCAATCACTTATAGCAATATTCAGCATAGACAGTGAAAGTGCAGGATGCTTAATCTTTTGGCTTTAAAACTAAGCACCACACAAGACATGGTATTTTATATTGGGTGGTATATATTGAATGTAGCAGATTTTCCTGATTAATTTGAAGAGGAACCAACAAGGGTTATGGGGAGGAAGAAATCAGATATCAAAACTTTATTCTCAACAAACACCTCTCTGGAATTTTTACATGTTAAGAGTTCTAATATTCAGGCATTTGTAGCATAATTAAGTACAGGCAGTCCCCGGGTTACGTACAAGATAGGGACTGTAGGTTTGTTCTTAAGTTGAATTTGTATGTAAGCTGGAACTGGTACATATTGTAGGGGAAACTCTAGCCAAACATTTCTCCAGAGCTCAGTTTTATTCTCCCACACCTCACTTTCTGCAGTCCTTTATTCTCAAGCTGAGGTGTCTGCTGAGAAAAGCCGCTCCGCGTCTCCCTGGTCTGGGGGGGGGGAGAAGGGGGCGCTAGCTTTGCGTCTCCCTGGTCTGCTGGGGGGAAGCAGCTAGTGCGGGGTTTTCTCACCCCGTTTGTAAGTAGGGATCCGATGTAAGTCGGATCCATGTAACCCGGGGACTGCCTGTATTACATTTACTTGTCAAACACGTAGGCTGTGTCTAGACTGGCCAGTTTTTCTGCAAAATCACATGATTTTGCGGAAAAACTTGCCAGCTGTCTACACTGGCCGCTTGAATTTCCGGAAAAGCACTGACGATCTCCTGTAAAATCGTCAGTGCTTTTCCAGAAATACTATGCTGCTCCCGTTCGGGCAAGTCTTTTTCCGAAAGACTTTTGCGCAAAAGGGCCAGTGTAGACAGCATAGTATTTTTTTCTGCAAAAAAGCCCCGATCGTGAAAATGGCGATCGGGGCTTTTTTGCGGAAAACTGCGTCTAAATTGGCCACGAACGCTTTTCTGCAAAAAGTGCTTTTGCGGAAAAGCATCCTGCCAATCTAGACGTGCTTTTCCGAAAATGCTTTTAACGGAAAACTTTTCCTAAAAGCATTTTCGGAAAATCATGCCAGTGTAGACGTAGCTGTACAGATTAAAGGAACCAGATCATTTTGCTGTAGAATTTAAGTCAAATTTACCTGGGACCTTGAATACAACTGTGTCCAAGGCAGTATCAGTTGTGTTCAAGGTCTCAAGTAAGCTTGACTTAAATTCTACAGCAAAATTATCTCCTATGGCAGCCTGGAAATTCTGAACCAGCTTCAGATAGGTAACAATCTGAATTGTATTGATGCAATTATGCATCAATACAAACAACTGTCAGAAGAGAACTGGAGATTTTAACAAATGGGAACAAGACTTCTGGAATCTGTGAAGGCAAGGGAGAGTCTGAGATTGTCTGTTGGGGGAGTGACATACCTTTTAACAGTAACAACTAAATGTTTCCTACTAAAAAATTACCAGCAATGAATTATTTAGTGATATTTAAAATGTGAATATCACTAACAACTCACTGAAATCAATGGGAATTCACACCTTTTGAAGCTAACATTTCAGGTAGCAATAGGCAACCTACATAGTAAGTGGGTCATACAAGTGGCCTTTCTTCATCTCAGTGGGCTGCAAGATTGTTGTAACCAAGATGGTTTCCAGGAATAGGACAGTTTTGCTATGGGCGGGAGGGGGAGGTGCCGAATGAACCTCAGAAGTGCTTTGTTTATATACAGGGGGAGCACACTGCTCTCACAGTCAATGTCGTGTGCAATCAGCACACACCTCACTTCACATGCCCTTGCTAGACGTGCGTATCATTTTTAAAATACCAGTAGGAAAAAAAATTATGCATTTGGAAACTGGTGGAATCTGGCAAGGCAGGGGTAAACAAAATGTCTCTGGAGCCACACACAGAACCCCAGTAGGGCCACAGGTTGCCTACGACTGATCTCAGGCCATCTTTATCACTGTACTCAAGAAAACAAAGCAGTAGTAGTTTACCCATTTTAAGGTTACGTTCCTAGCCACAGAGGCTACAAACAAATACTCTCATAGGCCCCCTGTCTATACTAGAGCTCCCAAAGACATGCCATCTGCACTGCCCAAAGCTCAGTCTCTGAACACAATTCAGGTTTGAGCCCAAATCCTCCTTCTGTTCATCACAAATCGGCCTGACTCAAATCAGCTGAAACTCAGGTCCAAGTCCTGTTATTATGCAGTATGGAGTCTGGTCAAGGCACAGACCCATGCCAGAAGGTCTGCATAGCATAGTATGGATGCAATAGCAAGGCTGAGACACCAGATTTACAGTGCCGCACGGATGCTCAATCCCAGGTTTGGAAACACAGTCCAAATGTCCAGACCTCACAGACCCAGGGTTAGTGTGCAGTTTGGAAACAATTGCTATCACCAACACAGCTCTACCAGTGTGAGCAATAAAAATATAGATTTTTGTAAAAATAAGTCTAGTATCAATAGCACTTAAGTGCCTGTTGGCTTGTCTATATTGCAAGTGGCACCAGTTTAGTGCAAGGTTTTTAACCAAACCTGATTTTTTTATATATATATTAAAAAAACCACACACAAGGCAAACATCTGTATTCAAATAAGGTTGTGCCATTTAAAAAAATTAATTCGCAATTTCCTAATGATACAATGCTTCATGCACAATTAACTGTTCTCCAGAATTTTAGTTAGCTTTTTTTCAGTCTCCAGCTGTGTCAAAGTTATTTGCTGAGTACTTCACAGATTCTGAAGCTAAACAGGGCAGCTCAACTAGAGCTGCTGGGTATTAATGTGTTGGGATAGTAAAATCTAACACATATTAAGGTACATTTTAAAGCATGTGATTATATAAACTACCAGAAACTGCATTCTGAATGTTATTTTAGAAAGTTATTGTACAAATTAACAAAGTTTCACTGCTTTACTGGTGCCAAGCGTACCTCTACCCTCTAATAAAAGTTCCATAGCAGGGCTGTGGTTGGCGCAAATCAGATGAGACAGATTTGTGGGCTAAAAATAGCTGTGTAGCCATTCATGCTTTCCCCCATGAGGTCCCAGAGGCCATGCTCAGAATCTACACCAGAGATGGACAACCACAAATAATGGGCAGACTGCAAGAGTAGCCCTCATTCATCTTGGTGGGGCACAGCAATCTACAGCTCACTGGTATTCCACCTGCAGCCCGTCCCCATCTGCTCTCCCTCCCCCATGTGCCTCTCACACTGTGGGGCACCAGAGCCCCACGCTTACTTGCTCCTTCCCCTCCCTCCCAGCACTTTTGGAGTCCATGAAGCTCTTAATTCACACTCCATCCTCCCTCCCAGAGGTTGAACAGCCACGAACAGCTGATTTATGTTGTACTAGCTCTGGGGAGGCAGAGTGTGGGGGGTGGGGTGGGGAGGGAGTATAAATCAGGAGATTTGCAGCTCCTCCAAAAGTGCTGGGAGGGAGGGGCAAGACGTAGGAAGTGTGGGGCTCCGACACTCCAGTGCACGAGAAGGGGCAGCCGGTTGCCCACCACTGATCTACACAGCAATTTTACAGCTATGAAGCCAGAGTCCAGTCAGCTCAAGTCAGCCAACCACGGGTGTTTAGTAGAAGCACAGACGTAGGCATATCCAAGAGCGTAATAACTTAGTATTCAAATGCAGTTGCTAATACTGCTCTTGGGATTTGAGGGCCATCAATTTCTAAATGATTTACATTTAGAACAGTCAAACAGTTACTAATGCCAACCCACAGCAGATGTGCCAAATGGCTGATCAAATCCCAGTTGTAGTAATATGAATGGCTTTGAGAATGAGTTACTTGTCTCCTAAGGGTGTGGTGTCTGTTCCATTTTGTATCTGAAAATTACACTACACCTATGAAGACACAAATGCATTCCAAGTGTGTGTGTGCCAGGGTGGGGGAAGAACATGGCAGGAAAGAAAAAAGGAAATAATTCAGGTGCTTCACTGCCTGAGCCAGTAGGGGAATATCATGTTGTAGAGCAGAGATACTCAGAGGTTCACGAGCCCCATGTCTCCCCTGAGACTCTTTGATATTAAAATCCTGTAATTTAATTAACAGCCAATCAGGGCTTTTACTAGGTTATTAACCAATGAAGTTTCAACTTATTCTGCTGCACCCAGAGAGAGAGAGAGAGAGTAAATGAAACAACGAATTCACACTAATGCTTCTCTTTTGGTAATATTGATTGCTAATTTAGCTGCTCAACCACTGAGGTTGACTATGACTGTGGTAGAGAGTGCAGCAAGAGTAAATTGTCCAGAGCATGTCTTGTGTCATTCCAAGAGCAATCAATCCAGCTAATTAAGAAACCCTATTCAAAGGGGAAGATTACTATAATACAGGCAGAAATTTTAAGTGTTGCTAACAATTACACAACCCTAACAGTTCTGAAGTGTTCTCCTTGCAGCTGGTTCTCCAGGAACTGTATCTTGTTGTTTATCATCTTGTACAAGTCGAGGCCAAAACATACAAGGAGACAATATGTTGCTAGAGTTAACATGACAATGAACTAAGCTTCACCGAACATTTAGCAGTTCATTATTAATGGGTTTGACTGTATGTCCTTTGAGTTTACCAACAAGGATGTCTAGTGTTGCTTAGTTGTAACTAGGATGAGGGAAGTCTCTTGATTTCTTTGCCTTTCTTAATGATACTGTTCTGCGTTGGTTTTGTTCAAGTAGAACTCTTACAGTAGTACATGTCCTGATTTCTATGATGTAGCCATCTGATGAAAAACAGGCCTCCATGCTGAACTGTCCAGCATCATTTGCATTTATTTTTAAAATATAAATATACATACACACAGAGTCAGTACTGGAAACAAAAGGCTCTCTCTCCCCTACATCTGTGGTATTAAAGGGTCTCTGCACTGGATATTCTTCCCAACTACCACATAATGTCCCTCTGAAGTATTTTAGAGAGGAAGGATGGTTCAGTGGTTAGACTTGGGATCCCTGGATTCAATTATGTGATCCAACGACTTCTTGTGTGAGTTTGTGCAAGTCACTTGGGGGCCTGATGCTCTATTCCCATTTGTAAAACGGGGGCAATAGTATTAATACTATAGCAGTATTTCACACAGGTGTTGAGAGGATAAACTGAGAGGCCTGTAATAATGATGGGGGCTATATACAGACTTGAAATAGAAAAAATAAATGAGCCTGATCAGTTAAAGAAACTTAAACCTTCTTGAGGTTTATTCACTACATTGTCATGAATTATTTATATGTAAATTTTGCTTGCACTCAGATAACAGACATTTACGCCTGATGCGTAACTGGAAGCTCAAGAAGATGCCAATACAGTAAAACTCCGATGGTCCGGCACTCCTGATGGTCTGGCACCATCAGGAACCCGGAAGTGCTCCGGGCAGCCGGACCATT